ACTCTCTATCCTCTCCCTTCCTCTCTGTAAAAAATCAATAAAATGTATTTTTAAAAAAATGTTTTCCCTAAGTGGCAGCCCCGATCAACTTTAAAATCATTTTTCGGGAGAATTTTCAGCTGAAATAATTCAAGAACATCCGAATTTTGAGTAATATATTTATTTTTATAATATTCATTGCAAGTTGATTTTTTAAATTAAATTCAAAATATCGTGGTGTGTGGGGATGGTTTCCGTTTTGGACGCATGGCAGTTAACAGGTTAAAAAAAAGAAAAGGAAAGGGGGAGGCAATAAATAAACAGATTATAAATACATTTATATCCCTTTATATATAAAAAACTTTATACAAATAAGATTTTAAAAGTCCACAAAAATCCCAAAAAATAAAAATCACAACAAATAGGCCAAAAACAAAGGACAGAAACACACTCCAAAAGATTCGAAAGTTGAAACAGAAAATTAAATAGCTAATAACAGTTGAAATATGCTCACAAATAATGCAATAAATGCTAAGTACATTAAGATGACATTTTCGATCTATCAAATTAGCAAAGGTGTTACAGTCTCCAGTGCTGTCAAGGGTCACAAGTAAATATCGCTGATAGTGGTACACACTGGCACATCTTTTCAGTAAAGTACTTTAGCAAGATGTTTCAAGGGTCTTAAATATATTTTAGCTATTGATCTAGTAAATTCATTTCTGAGAATCTATCCTAAAAAACATCCAAATGCAATAAAAGTTATACACAAAGATATACACAGTGTTATCTAAAATTAGGAGCGAGAAACACCGCTAATATCCAAACAACAGTAGAAACACCACAAATATGCAACCAAATGTTGAATTCATAAACATTAAATAAGTGATCTATCCATAGAAGTAAAAATAGCATTTATGAAGAATTTTAAATTTTAGGTTTTCTGATTTAGAGCAGAAAAGGAAAATTTTCAACTCAGTCCAATGCCAACTATCCAGTAGTAAGTATCAAATTTGCCTGAGGAATCAAATTTCCACAAGAAACGTATTCATGCTGAATGGCGCTTGTATCTATGTTTTTGAAATGGGAATGTAATGGCTTCAGGTCCCTTCTATAGGGCCTGCAGGGGCCACGATCTTAAGAGGGCAGGAGACATTAGATCAGCGGTTCTCAACCTGTGGGTCGAGACCCTTTGGGAGTCGAACGACCCTTTCACAGGGGTCACCTAATTAATAAATATTTCACAATATATAATTACATATTGTTTTTGTGATTAATCACTATGCTTTAATTATGTTCAATTTGTAACAATGAAAATACATCCTGCATATCAGATATTTACATGACGATTCATAACAGTAGCAAAATTACAGTTATGAAGTAGCCACGAAAATAATTTTATGGTTGGGGGTCACCACAACATGAGGAACTGTATTAAAGAGTCGAGGCATTAGGAAGGTTGAGAACCACTGCATTAGATAGAGATGACTGCTGCGTGTCAGCCACCCATGCCAGAGTCCTGGCACATCACACACGCAGGAGGTGTTGCTAATGTGCTGAATGAATGAGATGCTCCCTTTCCAGCGGCAGCTGAGCGATGACTGCTGCGTGTCAGCTACTCATGCCCCGAGTCCTGGCACATCACACACTCAGGAGGTGTTGCTAATCTGCTGAATGAATGAGATGCTCCCTTTCCAGCGGCAGCTCTGCCTACCCCGAATGGTTCTCGAGTTTCCCTCCTTTTAACCAAAAAACTCGAGGAGGCCCGTGCAGCGGACCCAGCCCCGGGAACCGCTTCTCGCCCAGTTCGGGCCTCCCTTCCTGTCTCCACCAAAAGGCTCCAAGCTCCACCCCACTGAGGGCACCGCCACCAAGCCGCCCCCCAGGCCCTGACTCAGTACCCGCGCCCATTCTCCGACGACCAAGCTTCTTTCTCCCCATAAGCCCGCGCCACTCAGCAGAGTAACCGGCCTCGCCCGGGACCGCTCCCCACTTTTCTGAATGTAACTCCCTCGGAACCAGCCCCCTTGACAGCTGCTGCCCCGGGCAGTACCTGAGCCACAGACCAAGCATCCGGAGAGAACCAGGAGCAGCCGCACTGCCCCGCCGCCCCGGGGCCCTCCGCCCCAGGGCCGGGCATCCACTGCAGGAGAGACCGCCACTTTCATGCCTCCCGCCATAGTCGCCTCCCGCCACCGCCTCCTCACGTGTCCCTCCCCAGCAACTAATCCCGAACAGGCAGGGCCAGCAGCCTATCCCCTACAAGACCCGCCCCATAACAACCAATTGGATGGGAGGAGCTTCAAGCTCGCGGTCCCTAGCGGACCTTATAATCCCGCCTCTTGGAAACTGATGCGAGAGGGCGGGAGCAGCAGCTTTCAGCCTATTAGAACTCGCTTTTAGCAATGGCGACAGGAAGATTCCACCCCTTAACAACATGCTTCCGTCTCCAGTTTATTTACAACTGGTGCGATTGATGGTAAGCTTAGCCAATAGAAAATCAGAATGGGCGAGGCCTCCTTGACCGAACTTGATATTTCCATGGAAACTGTCTCAAGTTCCTTCTGTTTTCTTTCTTTTTTATCACGATCTTTTTGTTAAGGGTAACTTATAATTGAGAGATCTTTATCAGTGGGGCCTGACGGGGCAAGTTTTAAAAGATGATTGTGTTTTCTAAGGCCCTAAATTATTTAAAACAGAAGTCACACACAAAAATGTGTGGTCAGTGTGTCATAGGAATAAATATTAGCATTTTAAAATGTAGTCATAGGATAATTTTTTGAAGTGAAATAAATGTGTGGATTAAAAGAAAGCTTTTTGTTCCTCACATCTTGTGAGACAAATATTATCTCCATTTAAGAAGCAGCCAAGGCGGCCCTGGCACGGGTAGTAGCTCAGTTGGTTAGAGCATCCTCCTGATATGCCAAGGTTGCAGACATGCTCCCCACTCAGGACACATATAAGAATCAACCAATGAATGCATAACTAAGTGGAACAGTAAATCGATATTTCTCTCTCTCCCTCCCTGCCTCCTTCTCTCTCTCAAATCAATAAAAAAAAATTAAAAAGAAAAAGAAGCCAAGGCTAAGAGAGGCAGAAGAACCTGCCCAAGATTGCATAGTTAGTTGGGCTGGACTGTGTTTCCAACCCACATCTTAACACTACAAAGCCTGAGTTCTTTCTATGCATCAAGCTGCTTCCCATTAAATGATTTCACACAGTGTGGGCTTAGCAGAGTGTACATAACAGGTGTTCAGTAAATGTTAGTAGAAATTGAAGCATCTTATTTTTAAAATATTTTTATTGATTGTTAGACAGAAAGGAAGGGAGAGGGAGAGAGAGAGAAACATCAATATGAGAGCAGAACATCCATCATCAATTGTCTGGCTGCCTCCTGCACACCCTTACCGGGTTTGAGCCCCAAACCTGGCACATGCCCTGACCAGAAATCAAGCAAGCAACCTTTCAGAGCGTGGAATGATGACCAACCAACTGAACCACATTGGCCAGGGCGAAGCATCTTTTTTTTAAAGAGGAGCTGATAGTGGTGGTGGTGAGTAGGAACACTAGAGATGATAAAACCTAATGAATTGGAGAGAAACTCAGGGAAAGAGGTAACTGCTGGGGATTGTTCAAGCTTTCAGAAATGAGGAATTTTTAAAAAGTCAATATGGGACTGAGCCATGGGCAAGAGAAGAAATTTTACCCTCATAAAGAAAGTCTAGGCCACCCCTGAGACAATGGTCACCCTATATCTCATACACACAGTCCCTTGGCTGACCTAGAGAGGTCAGTATCAACAGTAATAAATCACATTGATATTAGTATCCTTGATAGCATGTGATAAAAATGGCATTTTTATCTCTGTGGTCTCCCCCCCTCAAACTCATAAAACTAATATAATCATGAGAAAAACATTAAACAAATTCCAATAGAGAGGCAGCCTATAAATACTCCTCAAAACTGTCAAGTCATCAAAAACAAGGAAAGTCTGAACAGCCAAGAGGAACCTGAGACATGAGAACCAAATCTAATATGGTATCATGTATGAGATCCTGGAACAGAAAAGAAAATTACATAGAAACTAAGGAAATCTGAATAAACTACAGATTTTTAGTTAATGACAGTATATCAATACTGATTCATTAATAGTGGCAAATGTACCGATACTAATATAATAATAGTGGAAACTGGATATGGGGTACATGGGAACTCCCTGGACTATGTTCTCAGTTTGTGTGAACCTAAAACTTTAAAAATAATTTGTGTACACACACACACACACACACACACACACATTTCATTTCCTACCAGGCCCCAAATTCTCATTATTCAGAGCTCACACTTTAGTTTTGACTAAAGGCCAGAGAACCGGGGAACTAATTCCAGATCACTGACCACTGACTGCTAAAATTTAACAATGAGATGTACAGTGGTGTGACTGGTTATCCATAAATACTTCACACCTTACCATCCAAATGAATTGTGTCTGTCACTTCGCAGTAATCACTCAAGATGTTTTTGGCATTGTTTTAATAATGAGGACACTGCTCAAAACTTTGAGAATCATTTTCAGAGTGTATAGCATACATTGCAATGAATATTCATTACCTGCAGGTGGATCTGATTTATGCAAATAACCAAAAGAACTCAAGCCAAGATTGATGAGTAAATGGGTTGGGAAATCTGGATAGCAAATGTGTTTCAGAATTTTTTTGAACTTTAGAAAGGTAACATGGTGCATACACAATGTAGTGCAACAATCCCAATGGGGTCTGGGATAGTACCCTGTAATTGAACAAATTTGTATGTCTGCAATGAGATATATGAATAGTCACACTGGGATAAACCTGTGTGATAAACAAAAACTATAAATTATCTCATGAAAGTTTAGATCAGGTCTGCCACAAAATAAGTTCAGATCAAATTAGGGCTTGTCATCAAATGAGTTATGAAAAACTTGGTTTTCAGAATTTTTTTTCATTTAGGAAAAGGATTGCAAATGGTGAGTATTTGATGAAGAAAATCCCCAAAGTTTTGGGAAGAAGCACTCTATTCTATTTACTCCATCACCCAAGCTAGAAGCTCAAGAGTCACCCTAACCCTTCTTCTCTTTCCCCAACCCCTTAGCCACCAATCAACAGGTCTTATTAATTTAAATCTTTTGAAATCTGTTCTGTCCTCTCTATCTCATGCCAATGATTTAGTCCAGCACCTTTCGATTTCTCACATTTAATTTCCTGCAAGCTAGCCTCTCTGTTTTTGCAGCCATAAAACCCTTTCTCCACACCACTCCTAAATGCAGATTTGACCTTGTCACTCCCATATGACAAGATCTTTATGGTTCCACAGAATCTTCTGTGATAAAGTCCAGGGTCCTTAGTATGATCCAAAACATAGAGCTAAAGAAACAACTATGGCAGTGCTATTCAAAGTTTCTTACCAATCTGCAAAGAAAAAAATTTCAGAAATTAAATGTAAGCATTTAGGAACTTTTACAGCAATTCAAGAGAAATTTTATATTTATTGAGGCTAATAAAAATGGGGATTTTATTTTACTTTTTGTGTATTTTATAGAAGTAGTGGATAACAGATTGGAATTTTTTTTAATTGGCCCTTTACTATAGTTCGAGAAGCCTTAGTCTGTAATTTTTGTTGTTGTTAATCCTCACCAGAGGATATTTTTTCCATTGATTTTTAGAGAGGGAGGGAAGAGAGAGTGAGAGAGAGACAGAAACATCAATGTCAGAGAGACACATCAATTGGTTGCCTCCACGCACCCAGACCAGGTGGAGAAGGAACTTGAAATCCAGGTAGCCTTGTCCAGGAATTGAACCCACAGATCCTTGGGAGTGGTTCGTGGGCCGATGCTCTACCACTGAGCCAGGGCCCTAGTCTATAATCCTAATGGAATGGCCTTGTACACCTCCCTGGGCTCCTTTTTTACCACCACCATCCCCATCCAGCAACAGTGAACAATTTTTAGTTTCTCAAACTTATCACTCTATTTCATACGTCCTTGTAAGTGTACATTCTGCTCTCTCTGACTTGATCATTTCTTTCTCCTGGAAATCTCCTATTCAGAAATCAAAATCCTAGGCTGCATCACCGCCTTCTTTGGATTTGTCCCTCAAAACCCCAGGCAGAATAGGCCACTTGCCCCCATCCTTCTGTCACTGTTTATACCCCTATTATAGCACTACGTTGTAATTATTTGTTTAAATGTCTATCTCCCCTACTGGTCTGTGAGCTCTTTAAAGGCAGTTACTGCTGAAACCGGTTTGGCTCAGTGGATAGAGCGTCGGCCTGCGGACTGAAAGGTCCCAGGTTCAATTCCGGTCAAGGGCATGTACCTGGGTTGCGGGCACATCCCCAGTAGGAGATGTGCAGGAGGCAGCTGATCGATGTTTCTCTCTCATCGATGTTTC